TCCCGTTTCGAATACCGGTTGGGGCAATTTTTTCGTACTCGAAAGTCACGTTCTACAAAGTGTACTCAAATTAGTGTTTTAGTGTTGTCAAGGGTGTCGGAAGCAGTCCGGCTGGTCCTGATTTGGCCGGACCAATAATTTACAACTCAATATCGTTTGTAAGCCAATTTAGGCCTACTTTCTCTGACGCAACCTCTTTTTCCCCCCCCCCTTTTTTTTATAAAATTAAATGACCTGACTTAAAGCAACAAACAAACCAGTCAACTTCGTCTAAATGTAGTAGTGCCCACCCTAAACTGTCTTAATTATAGTTTGCTGTAACCTGGACGTTCTCTTGGTGACGATAGCGGTCCCTTTGAAGTTGCTGAAAAACGCAGCAACTTGTCGAAATTTACCAGTTTGAAAAAGGAGGCGTGGTGTGTGGGGGAAAAGACGACTTTATTTAGAACAAATTTGAAATTATTTCATTGTTTACTGTAGTTAAGTATCAATAACTTAGGCCTATTTATCATGATTTAATTCAGCACGCCAATAATAAAATTTCAGCTCTGAAAGCTAGACTCAAAAATACCGGGATGGTGTCCGGCGGGGGATAGATTTAGATTTAGATAATTAGAAGATTAAATTAATTCTAGTAAAACATTTCACTTGCTCTAGCAATCTTTATTCAGGCCCCAAAACCTCGACTCAAAAATGCCAGGGGTGGTGTCCAATGGGAAATAATTTTTCCTCAAAAAAATTATTAGGCCTAAATTAAGGTTATTTTTTTTTTTATTATTTTTTTTGTTGTTAAGAATTAGTTATCTTGTTATTTAAGAGCGTTACATGTTAAAAAGCTGTGCTTCAATTTAATTCTTTACATCTCATTTTCACATTTTCATTTGTTCTTTTAGACATACTTTTAATTTTCTGTTGTCTATACATGTGACTATGATTAATAGGATATGTAATAAATCGAAACTAAACGATTAAACATTTAATGTATATTAAAACGGCTGTTTTTCATCATCTGCTAAGAAAAAATTCAGTAAAAACCTACCACAAATATAGCATTTTTAGGCAACTTGATAAAATTCTTAATGCTCATCCAGAGCATCACAAAATATTCATTCTTTTAAATGAGTGTAAAAGATACTGTAATATACCGTACCTTGTGCAACATATAGGCCTATTTTATTCATTGCATATTATACATATATATATATATATATCCCTGGTCCTCAATAAGCGGTCCACTAGGCAATTTAATTTGGCCCGTGAATAAAAACAAAATAATGAAAAAAAAAATATTTAAACATAGTAAAAAAATTTCGATAAATACATTTGTAATAAAGTAGAGAAAAATTCAATCCCTGGGCAATTTGCACGGGGTGGTTTGAATTTAGCAAGATGATATACAGTAGGCCATAAATTGCGCCAAAAACTGGGTACTGTACTTTTCATGGTCCTATTCTAAAGCCTGTAAACAAACTAGGCGTATTAGAAAAAATCCCGACATTGGTATATAATTTTAGCTGTTCTAAATTTAATATAGCAGCCCAGTGGAAGTAAAAACTTTACCATAGACATGTTAACATTTTAAGGTCCTCATGCATGATTTGAGACTCATGGTAGAAGAAGCCCATTGTTAACATAGAGGTAAACACAGCTAAATTTAGGTTATTGCAATACGTCTACGGTATAATAATAATAATCAATATCTAAAGCCTAATGTTAATAACATCTAGGCGCTATGGCGTATTATGTTTCATCGTCCATTCGCAAGCCTACTTATTTTACTTAATAATAAACAGCTAGTGAACCAAAGAATAGTCCTTATAAAAATAAATTTTGATTGTCCTGCAAATAATTCAAGTCATATAGGACTCTATGACGCCAAGTTCTGTCTTTGTTTTGTTTTGAGAATTGTGTTTCGTCAATAGCTGGTTTTTTTCCAAGTCATATAATATTAGCATCACCCCAACATTTGTGCCGCCAAGTTCCATCTCTGTAAATTGTTTTGTTCATTGAGATTCGTTAATAGCATTTTTACTTTACAGGGAATAAAAGGTTGGTGTTTCAATAGACAGTGCTCATAAAATTACATCTCGCTAGTCCTACATGCGTACTGTGAACTTGCGGAAAACTGCTTGTATTTTGACTGACGACTGTTAAACAGATGACAGGTCCACACAGAAATTTTCCGCTACCCAATTGGGTCATGACCACTGGTGTAGGCCTAGTACAATTTAAAAGGTCCCTATAATTTCAAATTGCAAATAGACCTATCTTAGCGGAAAGAGTTCACCCAGATGTAAAACGATTGCTTTCAACTCGGCTGAGATTATTTGGCCCGTCATATCACCTCTATAATTTGGCCCTTTAAAGAAATTAATTAAAGACCAGGGACATATATTATATCTGGATTGTGTATATAAACATCGACATTTTTTAAATATTGTATTGCATAAATTTTGTAGGCCTACTCGTGTGTTTATTTAACAAAGATGCATCTCGTTATTATTGTTATTATTTAATTACAGGCCATAATAACCTGTCACACTCACAATGATCAGTTTAAATTCCATTTATCAGTGATATGGAAGTCTCAGGAGAGACTGCAAAATTGCAATAAAGAAACCTAGAAATAATCTATTTTTCTAAGAGAAGAGCAAATTGTCTTCTAAGTGGGTAGAAATACGTTACCAATCGTTTCGCATCGTGTGGGACGGTCCTGCATTTCAAAGTGGTTTTGGTTGAAACATGCATTTTGCAGAAACACGCGTGATGATCATAAATTTGTCATGCATTTAGCGCTGGTCTATGCATGATAACAAATTACCATAAATTAAAAATTAGAAGAAATTGGTTTGATTAAAAAGCGCTTTATAAATTGAAATACTTAATTCACTGACGCGTTAATAACAATTGATCAGTATGCCTCATTTTTTGTTTTAAGTAATGAAAGATTTTTGTTCAGGTGCTCAAATTAAACATAATGTACATTAAAAATATTTTTGTTCATTTACTGTACCCGGTATTGTCAACAAACACTCCTGAAATCGTTTTAAATCAGCTTAAAAATGCTTTAATCATCGACAGGGTCACTCGCCCCTGGACCCCCACCGGGGCTCCGCCTCTAGACCCCACCCCCAGCCAACAGTATTCAGGCATTTCAAATCTCTCAGGTTTTGGAACTATGGAAATATATCCTCTGTAGGTAATGTTATTTTATTTATTTTTATTGGGGGGGGGGGGTGGGGGGTGGGGTGTAGTTATTGCTACGCGCCTGGTTCTACATAATATACTCAATCGTTTCTCTTTGATTTCTCGTTATTTAATTTTTTTATATTTCTAAATTGTGAAACATTTGAAAAAATTGAAGCTGTATTTCTTACTATCACAGGTTTTTCCAGTTCCATTAAACCCAGAATTACACATGCATGTAAATGATCCAGGTGTGTCAATACACGTGGCGTCGGCATGACAATCATCAGTGTTTTCTGCACATTCATCGATATTAATACAACTTGTTATTCCATCTCCACGGAAACCATCGTGACAATTGCATTGGTAAGCTCCTTCCGTGTCTGTACATACAGCGTTTTCATTGCAAGTTCTGTTATACTCACACTCATTAATATCTGTGATTAATTACAAATTATATAATATTATTATCATCCACGATTATCATTATTTATTTATTATTATTATTATTACTACTACTACAAGAGTATGGATACATTTGTAACTAAACGTGCCTAATAATATTAAATGTTATTATTCTAATTTAATTTTATTATTAATATATTAGTTTTTTATCTTCATGCTAATAATAAAATAATAGATCCCGTCTGACATGTAATGCTTATTGCACATTAAACATAACCTAATTATTAAAGTAAACAATTCACAGAACATAATAATACTGTAATATAATACAATACAACTTTATATTTATATTCATCTTACTTTGACAAACGAGGCCATCACCAGAAAACCCTGAATTACAGAGGCATGTGTAATTTCCAGGTGCGTTACTACAGGTGGCCATGGAATCGCATGGCATTGTTGAGCATTCATCCACATCTGAAATACAAACATGATTATATTTCGTATCCTTATAAAATTAACCAGTTGAAAGTTACCAATAGAGATCTACTGCATATAATATGTGGATATATATTGTATAGGTACAGACAGAATCTAAATAACTTACCAAAGCAAATAATGCCATTTCCTGTATAACCGCTCTTACATTGACACACATATGAACCGTTGGTATTAATACAAAAGCCAGCATCATCACATTTTTCATATTCACAAGTCTCATTTCCAGAACAGTAGAGTCGAATATGCTCACATTCATCAATATCTAGAAGGCGGAAAATATTAAGGAAACAATTATCATCTGACGATTTATCTATCTTAGGCTCTGTCCATGCTATCACAATTGTGATTTTGCTCTGTTATTAGGGAGTTTTCGATGCACGACGTTAATCTTAACTTTAACGTTAGTACCCAACATGCAGCACGATGGCTCCGGCCCTTTAGTAAACAAATCGAAATATGCATGCGCAAACCCGTAACTAACGTATGTCGAGCACGTAAAATCCTGAAATTAACGTACTCCGCAACGCAAGATGAATAAATTATGACGTCATCCGTTAAAGTTAAGGTTAACGTCGTGCATTGAAAACTCCCTAATATGGGTATGAAGTCAAAACATCATGCTCATACATGGGAAATAATAAAAATAATAATAATAATATTAATAATAATAATAATAATAATAATAATAATAATAATAATAATAATAGTTTATTGAAGCTGAACTTTTGCAACAGTGGCACCTCATAATGGGTAATAATAATAATAATAATAATAATAACAATAATATTTATAATAATAATAACAATAATAATGAGAAAGGTGAAACAAATGCTAAAAAAAACTTTAAAAGGGCTAAAAATGTTAAGATGTTGCTTGTCTCTTTAAAATGTGATTTTAAAATTACTGTAATAAAATTTGATGGAAACACACAATATTAAAGGCAATCAAAAAGCATTAAAACATTAGAAAGCCAGATGCAGAATCAATTAAGAAATTCATCCTTTAAATGCTAAAAAATGCTAACATGCTTTAAAAATTAAAAATGCTAAAAAGTTATTCACACAAAACTG